GGCGAAGCCATGCGAAATGAATCGCAAGCCGAGTCTGCTGGTAGTTTCGGGGCCAGCTGGAGCGGTAGGAAGCATCTACACACACCGTGCCAGTGGCCAGGGAGCCACCGACGTACCCGAGGGTGCAAGGCTTTACAGGGTCGCACACCGCCAGACTTGCCCTCTTGGGACCCAGGAACAGAGGAATTTGCTCTTTCTTTAAAGTGTGGGTACCGCTTGCTCCACTTCTTTTGGGAGCAACGGTGGAACAGACACACACACAAACAAAGACTCCACCTGGCCCTCACCCGGGGGGAAGGAGTGGATCGGTGACCAACTCCAAGAGCATCCTCCTCCATCCCTGAGCGGCCCGCTCCGGAATGCTTTCGTTGTCGCCTGCCACCTGGCTTGGCAGCGCCTGGAGCAGGCTGGGCGTCCCTACTGCGGCCGGCTCCATGCTGAGGCCTGGCTGGAGGCTGCTGCGGAGGCCCAGCGGGAGCGGCGGCAGGGGAACACCCTCGGCGACGAGCAGGTGGAGGAAATGCCACCGGCGGCGGGTGGAGACAGCAGCGGGCCGCCGGGGCAGGATGTGCCGGATGGCCTCCGTCTGCGCTTGGGTGGCAGAGAACTGTTGGACGCAGTTCTCCGCCGCGTCGCCAACCAGCCCAACCTGGGAAATTGGGGAGACCAGGAACCGAACCTTGTCCGTATCCGCCATATCAACCAGGCTGAGCCAACGATGGTGCTCCTGGACCACTAAGGTGGACATCGCCAGACCGATCGCGCACGCCACGACACTCGTGCCCCGGAGGGCGAGGTTGGAAGCACTGCGGTGCTCACCTATGAGCGCACGGTCTGGGCTACCCTCGTGCATGTCCATGGGTGCCCTGGCCTGACAGACCTGTAGCAACGCCATGGCACGCAAGAGGCGGCTTGCCCACACGCTTTGTAAGCTCTGCCCGTCGGAACGGACGAGAACTCACAGGCCTTAGGGGGGAGACGAGGATCCCTCCAAAAAGAAGCGGCTGCCGGACACAGGTGCACCTATGTCGCGACAGACCGCTCCACTGGAGGGATAGCCTCGCAACCCTTCACCGCTCCACCATCAAGGGTAGTGAGGGGGAAAAGCTATTCAGGCAGTTTCTGGCAGAGAAAGGTGCCGTCCACAACCTGATAAACTCTCCATGCAGTTCGGGAAAGAAAAGCACTGGGGCGGCGAGCTGAGAACCAGCGCGGCCCGCACCGAGATACCAATCCTCCAACCGAGACTGAACGGGACACGGTGGAGTGTTCCATTCGAGCCCGGCAGCCTGAGTGGCCCATTTCAGCATAGCTGACATTTCTGGATCTGGCTCGGGCAACATTACACTCCCAGAGGGAGATAACACAGCCGAGTCGTCATTTCCAGAGGTTAGCTCACCCTCCGATGCTGCTATCGACATCTTATCCTCTGGGGGAACCCCAATTGAAACGGCTGATCGGTGCATTACAGAGGGACCAGCACGTCTAACAGGAATTCCATCGGCTGCGGTGTGATGGAGGAGTGAGGAGCCCACAGGGAATGGTTACCGGGCGAATGACCGCGGCAACACTGAAAAGTGAACTGAAACAGTAAAGCACTCACTTTTCCGTCCTCTAACCAGCCGTTAACACATACAAACCCTTAGAAATTTGTTGCTGTTAAAACAGCAGTTGAGAGCTCAAAGCTCGCGATCACCGCTGCACTCGCGCTGTAGAAACCACCAGCACTGGGAGAGTCTTCCAGAAAAACACAGACACACTCGCTCGTTGTAAACAACAGCACTCTTCAGAGACATCAATCGATCGGCTCCGAAGCAAAAGGCAACTAGTGCGTGCATCCACTTCCGTATGGCGGAGTGTGTGATGTAAGTCAAGCACGCCAATTCCATTGGCTCGTTCAATAGTACTCGAAGATGACTGGCTCCCTGGAGTGATCCCATTTCAGTCGACGTCGACTACATCTGACATTCACGACTGAAAGGGAACTCAAAGTCCCTCAGTGGAGGGTGAGTTAGTCTAAAAATGTAAACCGGTTTAAAGTGAAAACTGAAACGTGATGCCTGTGAGCAGAAATGAGTTGCGAAGTTGCCTCTTTTTGAATTTGACATACAATTCATACCTGGCCCAAACAATGTGGTGGCTGATGTCTTGAGCCGGGAACCTTTTGCCACTTTAAAAATTTTTGCACAGACTTACCAGAATACCATATGACATCTCGAAGCATGAAGCGGAGACTGGGTATGCTTAAAGTTGTGTGCGTCCAGAGAGAAAGTGAGTATTGTAAATTTCACTATGTTACTCGAGCTGAGTTGATTGTTGTTTACTGAATAGAGATGTTAAAAGAGTGATGACACAAAATGGATGCTAATGTGAAGTATAGCAGTATTTGAGTTCTCTTCCAGTACAGTGTAATCATGTAAGCTGTGCATTTTGTTTAATGTTCTGCTGCATTCAAAGGCAACATTGTGTTGATGTTTGGGGGAAGCCAGTAGTTTTAATGCCATTTATATTATTATGAGTGTGATTGTGATAAGAAAGAAGCATTGTTTGTTAGAGCATATCTTTTATTTGTTTGTTACAGACCACACATATGCTGACACACTTCTAAGGACATAAAGCACAAGACAATGCAACTCAGCGCCAGTATTCATGCTTATCTTTGATACGTGCACAGAGAGCACTGTTTAATTCAACCCACTATGATCTGGGTCCCCTCTGCATATGCTTGTACAAATAAATCGGTTGAACTGGATTCCTTCTCCGACTTTGGTGTTCTAACCCACACACCCGGACCAGCTCCACCTCATTAGCAACAGCTAGCACCTTACAGTCCTTAGCCCCTCAGCTACATTGTGCACAATCTTCTGTCTGTGTATCTACTGGTGTGTGTGTGCGGAGTGCACAGGAACCACCATAAAGAGAATCAACTAATTTGCATTGTCACATGAACTATTTCTATTGTTCCCAAAGTTTTCTAATTAACTTTACTCACGTTTGTCACCGCAATTGAGTCTTCCATTTATCTGATCTCGTTGACAGATTGGGGATTAGCTACCCTTGATTTATCTGAATATTTAACAAGATGGCTTTAAAGCTGTCAAACCTAAGGTGGTTTATATGAAATGGCATCACTGATATGTCAAGATGTTGGTCTGTCCAATAATCTAGTGTAAAACAGTGGGGGTGGATGTGACGAGTATATGTTGTTACACTAGATTATTGAAAGAATTGTTAACTAATGGTATTCATTTAAAGGCATTTTATTTTGAAATAATTTGTCATGGAAGAAATTACAATCGAGTAATCTATGGTCATGTGACCATTGCAAAATATGTTGATATTTTGTTGATATTTAAAAATATGACAAAATATGTTGATATATGTTGATATTTTGAATTGATGTATAATATGTATTTTGTAAATTTATGTAGTGTATTTGTTGTTTAGTGGTTGCTTTGTGTCTTTTGTTGTTGTTTTGTCTACCTGCCCAGGGACAACAGATGCAAATTAGCTAACTCTGGTGCAATTGTATAAATTGTGCGCTGTCCCTGTCAAATAAACAGTAAATGAAATTAAATTAAATGTTGTTAATTTAGTTCGTTTTATATATATATATACACTCACCGGCCACTTTATTAGGTACCCCATGCTAGTAACGGGTTGGACCCCCTTTTGCCTTCAGAACTGCCTCAATTCTTCGTGGCATAGATTCAACAAGGTGCTGGAAGCATTCCTCAGGGAGTTTGGTCCATATTGACATGATGGCATCACACAGTTGCCGCAGATTTGTCGGCTGCACATCCATGATGCGAATCTCCCGTTCCACCACATCCCAAAGATGCTCTATTGGGTTGAGATCTGGTGACTGTGGAGGCCATTTTAGTACAGTGAACTCATTGTCATGTTCAAGAAACCAATTTGAAATGATTAGAGCTTTGTGACATGGTGGAAGTAGCCATCAGAGGATGGGTACATGGTGGCCATAAAGGGATGGACATGGTCAGAAACAATGCTCAGGTAGGCCGTGGCATTTAAACGATGCCCAATTGGCACTAAGGGGCCTAAAGTGTGCCAGGAAAACATCCCCCACACCATTACACCACCACCACCAGCCTGCACAGTGGTAACAAGGCATGATGGTTCCATGTTCTCATTCTGTTTACGCCAAATTCTGACTCTAACATCTGAATGTCTCAACAGAAATCGAGACTCATCAGACCAGGCAACATTTTTCCAGTCTTCAACTGTTCAATTTTGGTGAGCTCTTGCAAATTGTAGCCTCTTTTTCCTATTTGTAGTGGAGATGAGTGGTACCCGGTGGAGTCTTCTGCTGTTGTAGCCCATCCGCCTCAAGGTTGTGCGTGTTGTGGCTTCACAAATGCTTTGCTGCATACCTCGGTTGTAACGAGTGGTTATTTCAGTCACTGTTGCCCTTCTATCAGCTCGAACCAGTCTGGCCATTCTCCTCTGACCTCTGGCATCAACAAGGCATTTCCGCCCACAGAACTGCCGCTCACTGGATGTTTTTTCTTTTTCGGACCATTCTCTGTAAACCCTAGAGATGGTTGTGCGTGAAAATCCCAGTAGATTAGCAGTTTCTGAAATACTCAGACCAGCCCTTCTGGCACCAACAATCATGCCACGTTCAAAGTCACTCAAATCAACTTTCTTCCCCATACTGATGCTCGGTTTGAACTGCAGGAGATTGTCTTGACCATGTCTACATGCCTAAATGCACTGAGTTGCCGCCATGTGATTGGCTGCTTAAAAATTAAGTGTTAACGAGCAGTTGGACAGGTGTACCTAATAAAGTGGCCGGTGAGTGTATATATATATATATATATATTGTATTTCCGTGTTATTGTCTTTGTTTTACCCTTTTTATAAATGTGTTATTCTGTATAAAATGTTAAGGAAGCACCATTGCATAAGTTACGAAGTGTAAGCGTGAGTGTAAAGCTGATGTAATTTCCGGGCGCCCTCTCTCTTTCGCAGGATGTCATGGCGATGAGAGGCACGGACCAGAGATTCTCCCTGTTAGAAGTGTCTGATGGGGTCTGGTATATTTTGATACAGAAACTGAGAGAAGCCGAGAGTAAATCACATCACAACTGCATCATCGTGTGGGATCTCTTTTATTAAGAAGAAAACACAACGCAGACGGAAACCCACTACACTTGGAGTGAGGAAGCTGCTTTACAGATTTGCAGACACATGTTTTTCACACATCACTCAAACACAGAACCAGGAAACAGGAAACTCTTCAGTTCAGAGAAACTGAAACTGAAGTGCAGTTGAGCTGTTGTGTGTTTGTGTCTCTGTATTCAAGCAGTAAAATGGCAGAAGCCAGAATTTCTCAGGATGAGTTCCAGTGTTCAGTGTGTCTGGATCTCCTGAAGGATCCAGTGACCACTTCCTGTGGACACAGTTTCTGTAAGATCTGTATTACAGGCTGCTGGGATCAGGAGGATGAGAAGAGAGTCTACAGCTGCCCTCAGTGCAGACAGACCTTCAGTCCAAGACCTGTTTTAATTAAAAACACCATGCTGGCTGAAGTGGTGGAGAAACTGAAGACTAAACTTCCTGATGACTGTTACGCTGGAGCTGGAGATGTGCAGTGTGACATCTGTGATGGAAGAAAACGCAAAGCCATCAAGTCCTGTCTGGAGTGTCTGGAGTCTTATTGTGAGAATCACCTTGAACAACATGAGAGTTTCTTTAAAAGAAAGAGACACAATCTGACTGATGCCACTGGACGACTGCAGGAGATGATCTGCCAAACACATGATAAACTCCTTGAGGTTTTCTGCCGCACTGATCAGAAGTTTATATGTTTGCTGTGTACGATGGATGAACATAAAAACCACGACACTGTATCAGCTGCAGCACAGAGGACAGAGAATCAGGTATGAACTTTAAACTAGACACTGATGAAATAATGTTGACACTATTTATATTGGCACTCATATGATCAGGTAACATCATTCACACTGCAGACTTCAGCAGAAGTGAACAGAAGCTGCAAGTGGACTTTCACTGCTGAGCGTATTTGTGCTCCACACTGAAATTAAAAGAAAAAATAGTGAAATGTACTGTAAACATATTTACTAGGGGTGGCTCGATACCACTTTTTCATGTCCGATACCGATACCACCGACTTGAGTATCTGCCGATAACGATACAATACTATATTTTTCTCCCTCTTAATTAAGCTGTTAATAACACATTTGTCAGGAGGATGCACGGTGCTTAACCTAGTCATCTAAAAAGCATCATGCTCAAACAGTGCAATAAATGTTCTACTCCCCTAAAGGAAGAAATACGTAGTCCACAACATGACTCAGTAGTGCAATACCGCTGCTGAATTTTTATTAAAACAATTTTTAAACAGAACTTGTAGCAGCATTTTTAATTATTCAGCACCATTCAATTAATGAAATTTAAAGTGCAACTGTGCAAATTAAAAAAAATTATAATTCCAGTGCCAAATACTGGATGTAACACAAAACTCTATGTAGTCATAACTTAAATAAGTATAACCTACCATAAAAATAATGGTATCTCCATTATAAAATGTACAATAGAACAGAATAGTACAATAAGGCACTGACAAATTAAACTCTAGCCCACACCTGATAAAGGAAAAAAATAAAAAATCTAGGGTAGACAGTCCAAGCTCTAAAGTTTTTCACATGTAACATCTGGGGTTCATAGGTGTAATTTGCTGGTGGGACGGGTGGGACATGTCCCCGCCACTTTTTCTCAGGATCGATATTGCCCCCACCACTTTTGAAACATTATGAGGCACAGATGTAATACAAATAAATAAAACATCTCCATTTAACAGAGCATTAATTAACATAGTTAGACGATCTAGCGCTAAAATCTGTTGTTTTTGAAATCAAGCTGAACGCTCGTTGCCGCTGCTATCAGTTGCATGGATACAGTGCACAGTGGCTTGTGCACAGTCTTCACTCGGACGCGCTCCAAACTATCGCCGTTGTGGAGACTCACAAAACAAAATGCACACTTTTTTAAAAATAACTCCACACACCAACTGTAATTGCAAAATTATTCACTTAAACAAACATCAATGCGTAAGAGACAGTCTGAGAATTAAAATGATTTATTTCTTATAAGAAAGGTTCAATTGGCCCACACAGTGTACAGCCCTGTGAGGCAAGTGAGACCCGGAGAGGAGGGAGAGAGCGGTTTTTATACAACTATCTCAAGGTCTGTTCTTCTGCCCATAGATAGACTAAAGTTCAGTTCTCTACTGTCAGGAAATAATAATAATAACCTGAACGTTAGGGTTTGGTCATGCTCTCTTGCTTGCTCTAAAACAGGACTGTCCTTTGACCTTTGGGGTCAAAGTCCATCCTTCTCTTCCCGTCCACCCAGCTCACCTGCTCACATCAATCAGTAGCAGCAGCAATTATTGGTTTGAAAGAGAAAGGATAAAAAATCCCATAACAGCTGAGATGATAATTGCTGACAGGTCTCACTTCACTCTTCTTCTTCTTCTATTCCTTTCCAGCAGACTAGGCACTGTTAGTGCATTGCTGCCTCCCACTGGTGATAAAGACATTTAGGCTCCCCCTTAGCCTATATTTTCCAATATAGGCCCATAGCCTTTAGGAAGTGAAATAGTTCCAATGCTCTTTCTGTTTGATTAGGACCATCACCCATCAAAGTTTTAACAGAGAATAGATCAACTCCCAGAACATTTAGACCAATGAATAACTTTCTCCTTTCCTCAGCATATCTCGGACAGAACGTGATGACATGCTTGACAGACTCCTGGACTCCACAGACTGGACACTTGCCGACCCAGTCTTAATCGGGCCAACTTAATCTGATCCATCCGAGGCAGGATAATTATATTCCCAGGGTTGACTACTGTCTATGACACTGTCTTACATGAAAATGTGGAACATAAAATCCAAAGCCCACTTTATTACTCTCAGGGTCTCTAGATCCATTTGTATAAATATCTATGAAACTATTCCATAATTTCCTAAGATGCTCCTGTACATAGTTAGCAACATTTCCTACACTTCCTTCCTTTATTAAAATTTTAATAGATATCTCTACATCAGCCTCAGGCAATAACCAATGAGGGATAGATGGCCAGTAGACAGAAGGCACCATTTTCCTTTCATTAAGCTTAAGCTCCTCTGCGTATGTCTTAACAGAATGTAAAACACTATATCTATTAATTCTACTCTCACCCTTCCTAAACTCCCAACACTCTGCTAACAAAGAAACTGAAGGAAGAGCTGACCCAAAGCTTTTAATTTTTACGAAATAATTTAATGCCAATTTTGCACGTCGCAGCCTTAGCATCATGCTTCCACTAGCAGCAACAGAATCAGCGTTGTTCGGAATGCCCCAGTACATATCCTCAAAGCCCTAGATTGAACCACATCTAACTTATTAAGCGTGGACCTAGCTGATGATCCATATACAAGACACCCATCAGCATAAGATTCCTGTCTGCACCCCAAGAGCACCCTGCCAAACACCTCAAAATATTAATAACCTTTCCACATTTATTCACCATTCTACATACATGTTCTTTATACGTTAGCTTTTCATCTACCCAGACCCCAAGAAATTTAAAGGTCTTAACTCCCCCAAGAGGCTCCCCATACAACTTAAGACCTAGACTGTTTAAATTCCTTTTCCTACCATATACTTTGTTTTTGTCAATGATAGTCTAAAGCCCCACTTATCACTCCAAGCCTGCACCTTATTCAAAGCACACTGCATTTGTTTAAATAAATACCCAGTATTACGGCCTCTTTTCCACAATGCTCCATCATCTGCAAACAAAGATCGCTGAAATCCACTTCCTACCTCATCAAACATATTATTAACCATCATATTGAACAGGACTGGACTGATTACACTACCCTGCGGAGTCCCATTATCTACAGACACAGAGTCAGAAAAGCTCCCTCCTACTCTTACCTGAATACACCGTGACCTCAGAAAGTCCTTAATCCAATTAATCATTCTGCCCCGAATCACTGCATCATACAGCTTAATGATTACTCCTTCTTTCCACAGCATATCATAAGCCTTCTCGATGTCAAAAAACACACCTACCACCACCTCTTTATTTACAAGGGCTTTCTTGATATCATCATCCAACACTAAAACTGAATCCATAGTCCCACGACCAAGTCTGAAACCATTCTGATATGTAGAGAAAAAAATCTTTCTTTTCCAATCTATATACCAACCTGTCAGTAACCATCCTTTCCATAATCGTACAGATGACAGCTGTAAGAGCAATTGGTCTATATGATCCAGGGCTTTTAGCTTCCTTACCAGGTTTTAAAATCGCCACAATTACTGCATGTTTCCATTCAGCTGGAATTGATCCTTCCTCCAACACTGTACTAATCAATGCCAAAACCTCCTCCAATGCAAAGTCATCCATATGCTGAAAGATCTCATATCTCGCCTCACTCAGTCACGGCTCGTTCTAGCTACCGTTCACATGATGCCAGTGTTGCCAAGTCCGCAGTCCCTCTCACACCCCGAAATGCGTTGGCTATTTTTTTAATTCAATTGGCGGGTTTTGTTGTGAAAATCTGGCGACCCTGCATGACGCATGTTGCTCATCTCTCTTTACAGCATGTCTCTCAGGTGTTGTTAAGAATTTGTATGACAGTTTAGGACTAAGGTCCGTGATCGTATCGGATCGGATTATACTCCCGCGATTCATACAATATCCGATCCAGTGATTTTGGCCAGTATAGGACTAATACCGATACCGAATATCGGATCGGCGCACCGCTAATATTTACCACCACAAACTTTTGTAAAACAGGCTTTGATGAAGCAACATAAAATAATAGAAAATATTCACAGATTGTTTGACAAAATATATCTCTGTAAAGAATAACGCAAGTTAAATGCAGCGACAGACAAAAACACATTTTATTTTCAGTAAATCTGTCTCAGTCCATATGAACTCAGTCGTTTATAGCTTCATTTCAGGCTTTGGCTTCTGTTCTGTTTTCAAAATCCATTTTTGATGGAAATGGGATGCCCATCTTCATGTAAATTATGACTGATTCCTGATCAACATTTTATAACTGATGGCAGTTATTAACAGAAATACTGTTATGCAGCAGAAACACTGTCAGTGTGAAGCTTTACATCTGTGTCAGTTTCACTTTTATGATACTTATGCTTGCAATGTGAAAGAAGGCTTTTTTCAACTTTTGTCAGTGTGAAATATTTGTAAATGTAAATTTTATAACCATTTCATTTATATACTTTTAAAGATGTTTTTTTTTTTTCAACTCTAGTCAGTGTAAAATATATGAGATATATATTCTCCTCACTTCCACTGTCCCAGCAATGAGCTCAGGAATGCGAAGGCTATCATTCGTCTCACACACACACATACACACACACACACACACACACGGAACATGCCTGTGGGTGCGCGATAGAGAGAGAGAATCACTCCTTTTTCAACTCCCTAAAATCTTTTAATTCTTCATCTCTCTAAAACATGTCGGTCGATTTTTTATTTGAAAAAATTGGCTCAGTAAGATATTTATTTTTAAGAACTGATTGCTTTTTTCAACTTTAGGAAGATATTATTTTATATACTTTTAAATGAACTGAATGGCTTCAACTTTAGTCAGTGTGAAATATACAACATTATTAGAAAAATCTCTTTTTCTCACTACCCCAGCAATGCGGAGGAAGGGGGATTCCGTAAAACTGGCTGTCAAACCATTGATCACCACTACATGACACATTATATCCCAGGCTTTTCTAACCATCCGGCAAAAACTAAAATGTTGCCGCTACATGACATATAATAACCCCGGATCAAAGCCAACCGACAAAATGACGTATCATGTCCAGATCAACAGGTCAAAACTAACTGTCAATTTGACGTATCATACCCCAGATCAAAACCAACTGACAAAATGATGTATCATGTCCCGGTTCTCAATCCATCAAGTCAAAAACGAACTGTCAACTTGACGTATCATACCTCGGATCAAAGCCAACTGACAAAATGGCGTATCATAGGAAGTTCAGTAGGTCAAAACTAACTGTCAACTTGATCGATCGCTAACAAGGGCAAAGGTTAATCCCTGACCCCCTACACCGGTAGGTCAACCCCCGGGGGGGAAGGGGTGGGGCTAGGTCAAAGGTCACCATCAATCATCTCGACACAAGGTGCCGGGTAATAACTACTATCAGGTAACAAAATGGGCGCATGCTGCTCAGCATAAGACACAACATAACATGACAAGTTGATGGAAACACGAATTGCATGCAAAACAGAACAAAACACCACACGCGGACAGAAGAGCGTATGGCCAGAGTAAACTCACATAACAAGTAGTCCATGGGCCCAGGCCACAATTTTCACTAATTGGTACCACCCAAGATGGCAAATTCTAGTTTGATTTTTTTTTCAGTCCATATCTCTAGATGATATTTCAACATGATAACCTTTTGTAAGTGGTAGCTTTGTCACAGAAATTAGCCTTCAATGACCGTTGAGCCAAAGAACTGTTGAGCCAAAGAATGAAAAAATCTTGTACCTTTATTTGAACAGAACATGTCATACAAAGAAAAACTAAATAATTATACCTTATTCATGAACTTATTTGGCCATTGCAAAATGTTTCTGTTTATTCATCATCGTCATCATCATCATCATCATCATATTCAAACAGTTTCATGACATCAGTATTCTCCTCCTCCTCCTCCCTCTGATTGCTGCAGGTTTGTAGCTTGCACTTTAATTTATTGGCAAGACGGGAACAGTCGGGAAGCTTGCAGGTCCGTGAACACTTGCAGGCCATTAGCTCCAGAACAGCCATTGGTGCTGGGGGTCCCCGCATTCAGTCTAACATGAGCATACCTGAACAAATAAGTGGGAGATATTTCTCATCCATTTCGGTGAGGTGTCCAAATGTCAAGATATTACTTATAGATATTTATATAAGACATAAGACATCCAGAAGGCAGACAGGGGACCATTGTTATCTCTAAGGTAGCTGAGGAACTCATTGAATCGTGTCAGAATGCGTTGACATGAATCTTGCTCGAGGGTTCCCTCAAATCTTGTCTTAGATATTTCTTCACACAGGTTATGGACTGCTTGCAGAGTTGCTTCCAAATGAATAAGATCTTCCTGACCATGGATTCTGTTCTAACCATGGATGAAAACCTTTCCATGCTAGTCTCAGGAAAGCCTCATAGAGCAGCTTGTGGAGCCTTACTCCTCGATTATACCTGTGACCATCAGTAACCCCTGAGATTGAGGCTACGTTTACACATAGCCGGGTATTTAGAGAAACGAATATTTTCCCCCTCTCCGTTTTCAAAAATAACATCGTGCAAACACCCGAATAATAACGCCGTCGAGCGCCATCATAACTATGCCAAACCTATGGGCGGCAGTGTAGGGAGAAGGATAAAGCCATGCAAGCCAATCAAAATCCTCAGAATCGACAAGAGAGAACCTAAAACCCCGTTTCTCCCAGTTTACACGGCAACACATAACTGGCGTTTTCAGAAATCTCCACTTTGCCCGGAGTTTTTAGAAATAATCATTTTCTGTGATAAAAACGGCATTTTCGTGTAAATGAGAGGGCAGAACGCAGAGAAATATCTGCGTTTTCCCATCGTGTAAACGGGGCCTGAGCCATCAGCTATCACTCCTGCCTCTACACAAAGGTCTCTTAAACCAGCTCCTGCAAACCGTTTTCCAATTGTTGCCATGAAAGTACAGGTGGTATGGAAGACCCCCATTCTAAGGATGATGTTCTTGAATACCTCCTGGTGTTTTCATGTAATTTCTGCAGCTTTGGCATATAATGCCTGGTCAAAAACAACAACAATGTTGTTGAGCTGCAGAGACTTCATGATGCTTATTGGTTAAGTACCTCATGTACTGTTGATAACTGTGTAGCAGGAGCATTGATTGTGGGCAAATAGCCTATACTATATTCTTGTACAATTGTATCATTGTGGGTGAGGATGTTTAACCCAGTCCAGCTGCAAACATCTTTGTTGGAAAGACGAGCCATTAGCCACACGTGGTTTCTGTCTGCTGCATCCTGTAGAAAGGAGGCATGATTAGTCTCAACTGTCTGTATAACAGGAGGATTGGCACGTTCTCCTGCATTGTAAATGGGAAGTACCATCTCTACTGCTTCAATGCTTCTCTTCTTGGTTTTGGGGATGCAAGGCAAAGCTCTGGTCCCAGCATTATGATCAGCAATAGGCTTTGTTTGCACAGCAATTCCGTTCACTCCAAGTGATTTCCCTTCACCACTGATTGTCTCCTCTAGTCTGTCTATATCCACTTCCTTCCAAGCACCTCCACTTGCTGCTTGCTTCTGAAGGCAAAGGTCTGTGTCAATTTCTTCTACCTGAGAATATGAAACACCATGGCCAAGTCTATTCAGTATCTTCATCAGTTCCACATTTCCGATGAGTGACTTGACAGCTCTGGGATGGGTTATTACCTACTTTGGATAAACCTGTTAGGAGTGTCTGGAGAAACTCCACTAGAGATGTAGGAGTGCTGTTCATCATCTCAAGATCTGACGCATGTGGTGGCCATGCTTGACTAATATCTTGGTTCCGAATATCACCTGTGATCTTCAGTGCCACTTGCGATATGATGTCTTCGCTAATGCTTGAAATTTCAACCGTCTTAAACTACTTCGCATCTCCACACACTCATCAATCTATTTTTAATTACTCACAAAGTTCTTATTTTATAAAATAGGTATCAAATGAAAAAGTGGACCTTCTGCTTCACAGTGATGCTAGTAGATTGCTGGTAGAACAAAGATGGTCTGAGTAATCTTGATTTGAAAAATCTAATTAAAATAAAACAAAGTTGCAATCATCGGTCATTTCTTCACTCATTTTCCCACTGCAGAGTCATAGCTGAATAAGTTGAGAAGTGCTTGTAGCCTCCAAGGGTAACGCATATCAAAATAAACAGCAGGACTCACCTTTTCAGATGAACATAGTGGCTTATCTGTACAACGAGGTATGGAGGAGTAATCTGAAACTTTTGAAACTAGCACCAGTCGTTGTTGTTGTTGCATAATATTATTTCATATACAGTACATACATATTTTTTCAAATTGCTAGGTCATGGATTGTCCCACCATCATGGTTCTGATATCACCAGATTACAGACAGTCTTGTCTATCCATATCTGAAAAGATACCCCCCTTAACATCAATATCTTTTGAGATAGATTTACAAATATAATAATTTAGTAGATGCAAAAATATTTTTCTTTAATATGAAGGCTAATACAAAACGTATACCACATATATCATGTCAAATGATGGCAGATCTGGATAGCCCTGACTGTGCTGAAAAAATAAACATATAGCATGTATGGCTACCTCTTATAATAGACTTCATAGAACCTGCGGGGCAGATACTGTAGGACGATAATGGCAATAATAATGATTGTCCCAAAATATTAGTAAAGCTACTCATTTGAAAAGGTTATCATGTTTCAAAGTACTTATATGGACTCAACAAACAAACTGGTACCAAAGAGATTTTGCCACCTTAGGTGGTACCAAATTCTGGCTTGGCCCATGGACTAAAGACAGAGTGCATGAGAACAAGCGAATGCTCATCCGGTGCACTCACAACAGAATAATAACACACAGAGCATTAATGTCTGAATCCCAACACAGAACCAAAACCAAACTAGACATGAGTGCTGTTATCTGAACACCACGCTTTGAACATGAAACAAGGCACACAGACAAGAGAACGCACGCTCACACAAATACAAGACAATACCGAAGTGTCAGGGCTCTGGCACAAAACCAAGAATAAACTAGACCAAAGTGACAGAACCCTGACAGATATGTGACAGCATTATAAACTGACATCTCTGTTATTGATTTGTGGTGCAGAAGCAGCTGAAGGAGACGCAGAGGTCGTTCCAGCAGAGGATCCAGCAGAGAGAGAAAGATCTTCAGCAGCTGAGAGAGGCTGTGGCGTCTCATAAGGTGAGTCTGGAGAAGAAGAGAAGTTTGAGAAGTCTCATTCAGGACTCACTGAAGCTCACTGTGTGATTGTGATGTGTGTCCTAACAGCGCTCTGCACAGACAGCAGTGGAGGACAGTGAGAGGATCTTCACTGAGCTTATCCGCTCCATTGAGAGAAGCCGCTCTGAGGCGACACAGCGGGAAAAGACTGCAGTGAGTCGAGCTGAAGGACGACTGGAGCGACTCGAGCAGGAGATCAATGATCTGAGGAGGAGAGACGCTGAGCTGGAGCAGCTTTCACACACACAGGATCATATCCAGTTCCTGCAGGTAACAGAGATCTAGAAGAACAGGATCATAGTGGACTTGAGCAAGAGACTCTCAGAGAAACATTTCATGAGAGCAGAATGAGCTGTGGACTGCAATGTTTCCAGGAATTCTATTTGTTGTGTTATATAATATCAAGGTAGATTCTAATCTGATCATCTTGATTTAAAATAGACTGCAATGTTGCCAAGAATTCTGTTTGTTGTATTATATAATAATATGGTAGATTATCATCTGATTATCTTGCTTGAAAATAGACGACACTTGTGAATGCATTTCAGCCCTGGAAATCTCTTAGGAAACATTTTCTGAGCTCTTTCTTCTGGGAGATATATTTAGCTGCCAAACTCCACTAATGCAACAGTTAAAAACGTCTAGAACATATTTTTAAAACCTTTTTAAAAACAAATTTTCCCTTCTGAAATCTTACATAATGGTGAAATTGATGGTACCAATTTTGAGTAATGTTCACCAAAGTTTCTTCAGGTGATCTTCAAATCTGATGGATGTGCAGTTTCATAATTGTTTGACCGTTCCCTTGAGGATCGCACCCATGAGTATCTCAATCTAGATCGCATGGTACACTACCCTGATTCCTTATATTATGCCGGGCTCAAAGAGCGGACAGAGGGGTCTTTGCCTGTGGTTCCCCCTGCACAGTGGGTGAAGAGGAGGAGGATCCCTAATACGGTGGTCCCGGTGCTAGCACTCATTGACCTACATATTCTAGAATGGACTCCTACCCATGCTCCCACCCTTGAGGTCTTTTCTTCTCCACCGGTCCCACCAGGCCAAATTAACTTTCTGGTTCCCAATAATTCCCTGGCCTTTCCTCTGCTGGTCCCACCCAGCCTCCTGGCTCCTGCGTTCCAACCATGGAGTGTCACGGTTGATGAATTCACTGACTGTTCCTTGCGCTGTGTTTATGTGTGTGTATGTGCACGTGTGTGGGCGTGGTCGCTGATTATCCTCCCGGAGAATCAGCGACAGGTGATACTCGTTTCCAGTGCCTATTTATACTCACCTCATGCGTCTTGTGTTTGTCAGATCGTTGTTTGTGGATTGTCTAGCCTGTTCCTGTTCCTTGGGTCCCAGTCTGTTCTTGTTGGATGTTCGCCTCGTCTCTTCGTCATCGTGTCTCGTCTTCACGGAGGATTCGCTACACACTGACCGTGCACCTCTGAGTTACTCACACAAGCCTGCGTTGCCAACGCTTCTGTTCCTGCTCTGTTTCCATTGGATTCCGTGAGTTCGTGAGATCGACTACATCAGACTGAGACTCTGTTCCGGTTATCTTCCTTCCTGTGTCTGAGGCTGGCTATCTTACTGTTCAATAAAGACCAGTTTTACTTGCACTTGTCTCCTCTGTTCACTACCCGTAACAGAACGATCTGACCGTCATGGAGGCAGCAAGTACATCCGAACTCGCGGATTATCTCTCTCACAACTCGGCACGGATGGATCAGCAGGAGGAGAATCTCACCACCACAAGTCGCGCAGTTCAGCCGTTGGTAACGCAGGTGTCTGGGCTCACCCAGCAAATCCAACAACTAGCCATGCCCGCTGCGCCAAACCCACCGCCGCCCCCACCCCCCGCTCCTCCCGCACCTAACCGTCCACAAGAGCCCCGTTTACCGACGCCGGAGAACTATTCGGGTGAGCCTAACTACTGCAGAGCCTTTTTAATCAAATGCTCTATGTTTTTTGCCCTACAGCCCCAGACATTTTGTATGGAACAGTCGAAGGTGGCGTTCGTACTTACCCTGCTGTCCGGGCGTGCGGCTCTGTGGGGGACGGCGGTGTGGGAGAGTCAACGAACATGCTGTTCCTCGTTCGCGGCACTCTCGGAAGAAATGAGGAGGGTATTCGACCGAGCAGTCGCAGGGAGAGAAGCGTCTCGTCGGCTCGTGGACCTCACTCAGGGAGAAGGATCTGTCGCGGAGTACTCCATTGAGTTTCGTACCCTTGCCGCAGAGTGTCGCTGGAACGAGGAGGCGCAGTGGGATGTCTTCCTGCATGGGCTGGCTGACCGCATCCAACGCGAGATTTACTCCCTGGATCTACCAGCAAGTCTCAACGGATTGATTGACCTGGCTCTGCAAGTGGACGCTCGCCTGCATCGTCTGGAGCAGCGCAACCGTTCCATTCCGATTCCCAGAGATTATGGATTCCACCAAACAAGTGGTCGTGATGCGGTCAGCCCCGTCATCAATCATTCCGAAGAATTGTCTTTTCTGCTCCTTGACTCCCCCACCATCCCCATTGTCCTCGGTCATCCCTGGCTCGTGCAGCATAACCCCAGGGTTAACTGGGGACATAATTCCATTTCTGCCTGGAGTACTGAGTGTTATGGGTCTTGTTTAATGTCTGCTGGTTCGTCTCTGTCCAGTTCTGTCTTGCAGGAGGAGCCGGTGAATTTGTCAAACGTGCCCGCTGAGTACCTCGACCTGAAGGAAGTGTTCAGTAAGTCCAGAGCTACTTCTCTTCCTCCGCATCGTCCCTATGACTGTGCTATAGATCTTCTGCCAGGTACGTCTCCGCCTAAGGGCAAGTTATACTCTCTTTCTATTCCCGAGAGGGAGGCCATGGAGAAATACATTTCTGATTCTCTGACATCCAAGTTCATTCGACCTTCCTCTTCTCCAGCGGGGGCGGGGTTCTTTTTTGTGGGGAAGAAGGACGGTTCCCTGCGACCGTGTATTGATTACCGGGGGCTGAACAACACCACGGTAAAGAATACCTATCCTTTGCCGTTGATGTCTTCAGCCTTCGAGCGGTTGCAGGGAGCCGCGGTCTTCACCAAATTGGATCTACGTAATGCTTATCATTTGGTCCGCATCAGGAAGGGAGATGAATGGAAAACCGCTTTTAATACCCCCAGGGGGCATTTTGAATATTTGGTCATGCCTTTCGGGCTGTCCAACTCCCCAGCGGTTTTTCAGGCACTCGTCAATGATGTGCTGAGAGACATGGTAGACCAGTTCATATATGTCTACCTGGATGACATATTGATTTTTTCTTCGTCTCTCCAGGAACACGTTCAGCACGTCAGACGAGTGCTTCAGAGGTTGTTAGAGAATGGGCTTTTTGTCAAGGCGGAGAAATGTGCTTTTCATGCACAGTCTGTTCCTTTCCTAGGTCACATCGTCTCGTCTGAGGGAATGCGTATGGACCCCGACAAGATTAAGGCCGTGGTGGATTGGCCAAGTCCAGATTCCCGTAAGGCCCTACTGAGGTTTCTGGGGTTTGCCAATTTTTACCGACGTTTTATTCGTAATTTTGGCCAACTAGCCGCGCCTCTGACAGCCTTGACCTCCCCCAGGACGACGTTCAGGTGGTCCGATGCAGCCGAGGCTGCATTCGCTAACCTAAAGAGCCGCTTTGTTTCCGCTCCTATTTTGATAGCCCCTGATCCATCACGTCAGTTCGTGGTGGAGGTCGATGCGTCAGAGGTGGGGGTAGGTGCGGTACTCTCCCAACGCTCTCCCTCAGACGACAAGGTGCACCCTTGCGCGTTTTTTTCTCATCGCTTGTCGCCTACCGAACGTAACTATGACATTGGTAACAGGGAGTTGTTGGCGGTCAAGCTTGCGTTAGAGGAATGGCGACACTGATTAGAGGGGTCGGGGGTACCTTTCATAGTCTGGACTGACCACAAGAATCTGGAATACATTCAATCCGCTAAAAGACTCAATTCCAGGCAGGCTCGGTTGGCCCTTTTTTTCGGTCGTTTTGATTTTACTCTCTCGTACCGCCCGGGTTCTAAAAACATCAAACCCGATTCTTTATCTCGTATTTTTTATCCATCCGCACGCCCGTCTACTCCCGAGTGCATTTATTCATCCGAGACTCTATTCATCTCCACACTCTCATGGGAGGTCGAATCGAAGGTCAAGACGGCCTTAGAAGGGGTAACGCCTCCACCCGGAGGCCCACCGAATCGATTATTTGTGCCGGAGGGGTTGCGGTCCGACGTTATCCGGTGGGGTCATTGTTCTAACGTAGCATGCCACCCAGGAGTAAACCGCACTAACTTTCTGGTCAAGCAACGATTCTGGTGGCCGTTGATGGCTCGCGACATTCGAGATTTTGTTTTGGCTTGTTCGGTCTGTGCCATTGGTAAGACTTCCAATCGACCCCCAGATGGGTTACTCCAACCGTTGTCTGTCCCTTCGAGACCCTGGTCCCATATTTCGCTAGATTTTATCACCGCCCTCCCGCCCTCTCAAGGTAAGACGGTTGTTTTGACCGTAGTGGACCGGTTCTCGAAGGCGGCTCATTTCATTCCCTTGGCCAAATTACCATCTGCCAAGGAGACAGCGGTGACTGTCATTGATCACGTCTTTCGTCTACATGGCCTCCCGACGGACGTGGTCTCTGACAGGGGGCCCCAATTTGTGTCCAAATTCTGGCAGGAATTTTGTAAATTACTGGGGGCCACTGTCAGTCTGTCCTCGGGTTACCACCCCCAGAGCAATGGTCAGACCGAGAGAGCCAACCAAGATTTGGAGAGAATGTTGCGATGTGTGGTATCCAAGAATCCTTCCTCCTGGGGTCAACAGCTTTCTATGGTGGAGTACGCACACAACTCGTTGCCAGTGTCATCTACGGGCCTATCACCGTTTGAGTGTAGTTTAGGGTACCAGCCACCTATTTTTCCCAGCCTGGAATCCGAGGTCGCGGTTCCCTCCGCTCACGCCTTCGTCCAGAGGTGTCACCGTACATGGACCAGAGCCCGTGAGACTCTGCTCCAGGTAAGGGCACGCACCAAGGTTAAGGCCGATCGCCACCGGTCAAGACCTCCCGTCTACGTCGTCGGTTCCAAAGTGTGGCTTTCTACCAAGAATATTCCTCTCCGTTCCGTGTCGAATAAATTAGCTCCTAAATTCATTGGCCCGTTTCCTGTCACCAAAGTCATTAGTCCGGTGACAGTCCGACTCAAACTGTATCCTGCGTACAGGAGAATTCATCCCGTGTTCCATGTATCCAAATTAAAGCCCGTA